AGACTGTGTTATTTGTGTGGCCTTCTTTCCCCACGTCTGACTGGTTGGCTCTGCGACATTCAGTCTGTGTTATTGTCTCACTGCTTAGCCAGCACTGTTGTTTCTTTGAAAACATTTGAGATATGTTTTTTCTTGCCTTGGTTTCAAAGATCAAGCCTTATTTTCCAAGTTACTGGTGAATGATAGTATTTTTGTTCACCCGGTGTGTTTTGTGTGTGTGTGTGTGTGTGTGTGTGTTGTTGGCTATTTTTTTGAGGGGGGGGGGGAATTGGCTGTTCACCTGTTTTATTCATTTATTCACTCTATGTTGGTTACTTCCCTCATGCAAAATGCTCAGCTATGCCTCTGAAGAATATAAATACCAGAATTCAGTGGCATTCGAGTGGGACGTTGTATGCAAGTGACTTGGCTACAGAGCAGTTGGGATACTGAGAAATGAGGTGATCTGGGAGGTGAGGGTGGGAAGACATGGGAATCACCTGATGTAACCAGGCATCACTGAGGTGATTGGGGGTGAGGGTGGGAAGACACGGGATTCGCCTGATGTAACCAGGCATCACTGAGGTGATTGGGGGTGAGGGTGGGAAGACACGGGACTTGCCTGATGTAACCAAGCATCACTGAGATTTGATGTCTGACTGCGCAGTCAGAGCCTGGAGGAAACCAGAAGGTGCACTCCAGCCAGGTAACTAGGAAGCCTTTAGTAAAGGGAAGACAGGAGGGAGGGAGAATCTAAGAGCGTTTCCATGCTGGGGTGGGGGCAAGGGGGGCAGTCACGGGAACCCTGAGGGCCTGTTAGGCCAGGAGGCCTCAGGAGCTGGGATCTGGTGGGGAACAGCCTTCTCAGCTGGTCCTGAAGGGAGGGCAGGGAGGAATGCTGCAGCCCCACCCGCCTGCCCGCCCACTTATCCTGGTCGTCCTCCCTGGCGGAGCCCACAGAGCAAGGCACGCCCGCAGGGTCAGCCTCCCAGTGCAAAGGGGGAGCAGAGGGTGGAAAGTGGGTCCAGAAAAACCAAGGGGGACACAGTCCAGACTGCACTCCTGGGACCTGGCGGAGTCCCACAGGCGCTGAGGGGCCCAGTCCCTGATGGGAGGCCGAGCCAAGCGGGGCAACCTTTGGAGGCTCGGGGCTCAGTGGGCTGAGCTCTCGCCAACAGGGAGCCATCTCTGCAGCAGAGGATGGTTAGGGTTTGATTTATTTTTAAGATTTTGGTGGGGAAAGAAGAAGACTGCCCTCTCCCTCCCTCCCTCTCTCTCTCTCTTTCTCTCTCTCTCTCTCTCTCAGCCTCCTGGCAGCGACAGGAAGCCGCCGGACCGCCAGCGTGGTAGCCCACGGCTTCGTGCACCTTCTCGCCCTGGACAGGAATGCCCTCCGGGAAACCCTGGTGCATTACCCGGACTCAGAAAAGCTCCTCATGGAGAAAGCCAGGTGCGCCCCACACCCCCCCTAGAGGCGTCACTCTCCATCCCCGAGGAGACCGTGCGGGGAGGGTGGGCAGCCTTGTCCACGATACCACATGCACATGGAGCAGTGCTGTGGGCTGTGCGTGAGGCCAGGGGCCGAGCAAGGCCACACAGGTGCCCCCAAGCCAACCCCCATCACACGCCTCCCCACAGGGCGCTGCTCGGCAGCGACCTCTCCCACGCAAGGACTTGCCTTCCTCTTCCCACCAAGACCAGAGACACCCGAGCCCTGTGGACTCTCGGAGAGCGAACCACGCAGGTGAGAAGGGACTGCGGCCCAGGGAGACCTGGCCCAATGCACTCCTATCCCAGTGCACCCCCACCTACCCGCTCCCACCTATCCGGCTCCCACTTACTGGTTCAGAGAAGTCGGTTGGAGAAGAGAGACTGGAGTTTCTCCCTTAGACTTCCCCACAGGGGGAAAACCACACTTTCTATAGTATTTTTATGGCGTTCTGTTAATACTTTTTATTTTAAAACTAGAGAGCTGGTGCACAAAATTTGTGCACTGGGGGAGGGCGGAAGCTCCTGTGGTGAGTGGGATTGTGCTGAAACCGGCTCTCCGACATTCCCCGAGGGGTCCCAGATTGTGAGAGGGCACAGGCCAGGCCAAGGGACCCACAGGGCTGGGGTGGGAGGTGGGAGGTTGGCCAGCTGGGGAGGGACCACAGGAGGGCTCCAGGGTGTGCCCGGCCCGTCTCGCTCAGTCCTGACAGGCGGGACCCCAGCAGCAAGCTAACCTACTGGTTGGAGCGCTTGCCCCCTGGTGGTCAGTGTACGTCATAGCAACTGGTCGACTGGTGGACTGTCTGCCCCCTGGTGGTCAGTGCACATGATAGCAAGTGGTTGAGCAGCCTTAGCTTATCATTCGCATATTACACTTTGATTGGTTGAACGGATGACCAGATGACCGGACACTTAGCATATGTTAGGCTTTTATTATATAGGATATTTAAAATGCTATCTTTATAAAGTAACTAAGTAAATATTTTAAAAGTGAAGCAAGGAGGCTTGAGCACCTAACTGAGAGAGTGAGGACGTGGGGAAAAGGATGCTGGGGGACAGAAACCTGGCCCAGCCTGCACTGCCCGCTCCCTGCACCTGCAGCTCAGCGACCGCGCTCTGGGCCAGCTCGGCACCCCATCAGCCGCATTCGAATCAGCCCTGCCCGGTGGCCATCCTTAGCTTCCACTGCAGTGTCCTTGGTTATGATTTCAATACCAACTCTTTACAACTGCTTCTTCCAGGAAAACAGCGAGTCCTCCGCAGGAGGAGAGGGCAGAGGACGAGGGTGTGAAGATGCAGGGAGAGCTGCGGAGGGACCACTGGGCAGGTCTGGATGCAGAGCAGGCGCTGTCCCCGCAGAGGACAGGCTCCCGTTGGCCAGAGGGCAGCGTCACCCAGCTGAGCCTCCCGCCTCTCCCACACCATCCCCGCAGCTCCTGCCAGGGCAAGGAGGAGGTGCTGACCATGGCAGTCGGGGAAAGGGCTCTGAATGAGCGTCGGAGAACCTTAGATGCACCCTCGCTGGTTCCCAAAGACACTGTCCCCAGGATTGTGGCTTCCACTCACGAGGAGGAAGACCTCACCAGGCCCTGAGAAGCCACAGGCCAATCAGATCTTCATTTCTCTATTATTATTATTATTTATTACTATTATTATTATTAATTTGGGGGGCTTTGTTGCTAGGACTCCCCGAGCGTGTGACTTTACACAGTGGCCACAAGATTAGTTCTCTGCTGTCAGGAGCTGCGTGCAGCTGGTGTTTCTCCTAATTGTATGTGGCAGGTTTTTCTCCTCCCACTTTTCTTGCTGTTTCTTCTCTTCATTTGATTGGCTTGGTCTTGGCTCTGACTCACCAACCTTTTCCCTTAAAAACATGTTTTGTGTTAAGGCCTTGTGTGGCGCTGCTCACCTCTCTTACACATCATGCAACAGCACATTGCAGGGAGTCCTGTTTGTAGGGGCTGTGATGCTTTCACTCAAAGGAGGTGAAGGGTCACCAGATGTCAGCTCCACCAGCAGCTGGGCCTGAGGGGAAGCAGTGGGGGAGTGGGGATATGAGCTGCCCTGAGAGCAGGGGGTCAGCAGGACTCACAGCCCCGAGAACATCACCGAAGCAACATGCTAAGTGCCCATGCCCTTTGCTGAAGAAGCAGATGATAGTGTTTTCCCTCAAACCTTCTGATCGACTTGACCTGGCTCCACAGACTCACAAGAGGAGCAATCAGATCACCCCAACTTCACAGAGGCGGAATTACACCTCTCAGGACGTGCCTCAAGCATCTGCTTCAGAAGGTGCCGGATGTGAGCTTGTCTTTGCAGCGTTAGTGAGAAGTGACGAGGGTAGGAAGGCAGACGGCACACATGTCTGACGGACACAGCCTACAGTTCATGGAACCTACATGCACAGCTGTTTACAAAGTCTCCCAGCGAATCCAGTGCACTATAGGAAGCTGTCCCCATGAATCGGCTCACATTGGCATCACGACCAGCCTCGTGCTGTGAGGAGGCTAGAGCACGGGCTGATGTCGGAGTTAGAAACACATACAGACTTCCATTCTAATGAATGCCATAGTGCAGTGATGGCAAACCTATGACACGCGTATCAGAGGTGACACGCGAACTCATTTTTTTGGTTGATTTTTCTTTGTTAAATGGCATTTAAATATATAAAATAAATATCAAAAATATACATCTGTGTTTTACCATGGTTGCAAATATCAAAAAATTTCTATATGTGACACGGCACCAGAGTTAAGTTAGGGTTTTTCAAAATGCTGACACGCCGAGCTCAAAAGGTTTGCCATCACTGCCATAGTGTCTAAGGTTAGGTTCTGCATAATAGGCGCAGAGGATGGTCATTGCAGCAGCACTGTGCTGAGAGGCTTTGACAATGCTCTCAGCCAAAACGCCCACCACCCAGATGCACCCAGCCAACCATGGGTAAATCAATCACTGGGATACAGTGTAGAATTTGGTAGTCAGTTTTTTAATCCAGTGTTAGAGTATCCCAACACTGTGGTAACTATTACAAACGGTTGGTTGGTGTTTTAGGTTTTAAGGGAGTGCAGAGAAATTGTTAAGTAATATTTACCTGATAAAAGGGAATTTGCATGTAGAAAAGATGAAAATAGGAGAACCAAGATGGCAGTGTAGGTAAACATTGGTACTTGCAGCCTACCTTAACCACAAAAAAAATAACAACTAAATTACAGAACAACCATCATTCAGAACCACCTGAAATCTAGCTGAATGGAAGTCCTACAACTAGAGGAGTAAAGAAGAAAGTACATTGAAACTGGTAGGAGGGCAGAGGTGCAGAATAGGCTGGTCCGACACCCACGTGTAGCATTTTTTTAATCGGGAGGGATATCTTGGCTGCGGAGGCCTCCCATGAGAAGCAAGGGGTCCCAGCCCCACACCAGACCCCAAGCTCAGGGTTCCAGAGCTGGGAAGAGAAGTCCCCGTAACTTTGGGCTGTAAAAACCAGCAGAGATTGTGGCTGAGTGACACGGAGTCAGCCAGAGACCCTGGCAGTTCCTCTTAAAGGGCCAGCACACAAACTTACACAGTCTACCTTCCTCTGAACTCCAGTACCAGGTGGCAGCTTTGGGGGATCCAGGGACATACAGGGAACATGGGGAAGCTTTCTCACAGACAGGGGTGCTCCAAGGGGTTATTGTTCCTGTGCTGGGACCTCCCCCTGTCACAGAGCTGACTGGCAGCCATATCTGAGTTTCCATCAGCCTGGTCCACACTGTTTGCTCCACTCTAGTGATTCCCTCTGACCCTGCCCTATCCAATTTGCAGACCCACCCAAGCTGTTTGCAGCTGCTTTTCCATATGAATGGTCTCTCCTGGCTCAGGCTTCAGACTTTCCTAAATTCTCTCAAACAGCAGCTGACATCAGCATGCCCCAAACCTAAGAGGCCCAAGACCCGGCACAAGCACCAGCCTGCCTTGCTTCATAGTTGGGCCTCGCCTGGCCAATTCCAAGACCAATACAAGTAGCAGCTATCTGCAGATCTCTCTGTAGCTCCTGCTTGGTAACCCCGGGAGGCCCCAGAACCAGTGCACCCAGTGGACAGCTTCTGACCATACCAGATTACAACTCTACACGTCCACAAGTGACTCACTCAAGGGGCAGACTCAGCATCAAAGCTCCACTCAGCTCTTCCACTGTAGTTTGTGGCTGGTCCTCACAGCCAATTGGCATGGAGGTCAATTCCTCCCGGTGATGACAACAGCAATCAAGGCTCAACTACAGAAGACAGTGTACACAGCACACACAGGGGTGCTCCTAGCTCAGGTGACTGGGGTTGGAGGGGCCGAACCACTGGGTCCTACAGGACACCTACTACACAAGGCCACTCTACCAATTCCAGGAGACATAACAGCTCTACCTAATTCATAGAAACAAACACAGGGAAGTAGTCAAAATGTCACAAAAGAAAGAAATGGAAGCAAGCAAACTGCTGGATACAGAGTTCAAAACAATGGTTACAAGGTTGCTCAAGGATCTTAATGAGAGTTTCAGGGGACTTAGACTTTCAAGGATCTTAATGAGAATTTCAAAGACATGAAAAGGACTAGTCAGAAATTAAGCATACACTAACTGAAATAAAGAATAATTTACAGGGAGCCCTAACCAGTTTGGCTCAGTGGATAGAGCGTCAGCCTGCGGACTGAAGGGTCCCAGGTTCGATTCCAGTCAAGGGCATGTACCGTGGTTGCAGGCACATCCCCAGGAGGGGGTGTGCAGGAAGCAGCTGATGGATGTTTCTCTCTCATCGATGTTTCTGACTCCCTCTCCCTCTCCCTTCCTCTCTGTAAAAAATCAATAAAATATATATATATATATTTTTTTTTAAAAAGAATAATTTACAGGGAATCAACAGTAGAGCAGAGGATTCTGAGAATCAAATCAAGAATTTGGAATATGCTAAACATGTTTATGAGTAATTTTTTTTAGCATTTAATGATAACACCGTGTTTATGATATGTGTGGATGCCTCTTCCTCTGCTTTTAATACTGGCCACAAGCTAGACCTAAAATTTTTAAAGTGGCATTTCAGAGTGAGTTGAGACATATTAGTGGGATTGATGTTCATTTAGCGAGCTGCTTCCAGCACTTATCTGCAATGAAATAAAATAAATCAGAATGTATCATGTGTACTAAGGGTAACTATCATTTGTGAAAATTTTGTTTTATGTATGTGTTTAGGAAGAATAATGACAGAAAACTCCCACTACCTGGTGAAAGAAATAGACTTACAAGTCCAGGAAGCACAGAGAGTCCTAAACAATAGGAACTCAAAGAGGCCCACACCAAGACATAATTAAACATCATAATTAAAATGTCAAGTGTTAAAGAGAATCTTAAAAGCAGCAGGAGAAAAGCAGTTAGTTACCTACAAGGGAGCACCCATATGACTGTCAGCTGATTTCTCAACAGACTTTGCAGGCCATAAGGAAATTGCAAGAAATATTCAAAATGATGAATAGCAAGGACCTACAACCGTGATTACTCTACCCAGCAAAACTATCATGTAGAATTGAAGGTCAGATAAAGAGCTTCATAGACAAGAAAAAGCTAAAGGAGTTCATCACCACCAAACCAGTATTATATGAAGTATTGAAGGGTATTCTTGAAGAAGAAGAACAAAGAGGAGGAGGAGGAGGAGGAGGAGAAATCCTATATAATAAAAGGGTAATATGCAAACTGACCCTAACAGCAGAATGACTGAGAATGACTGGTCACTATGACACACACTGACCACCAGGGGGCAGACGCTCAATACAGGAGCTGCCCTCTGGTGGTCAGTGCTCTCCCACAGGGGGAGCTCTGCTCAGCCACAAGCCAGGCTGACAGCTGCCAGTACAGCAGTGGTGGTGGGAGCCTCTCCCACCTCCTCAGCAACACTAAGGATGTCCAACTGCAGCTTAGGCCTGCTCCCCGCTGGCAAGTGGACATCCCCCAAGGGCTGCCGGGCTGCCAGCGGGATGTCTGACTGCCAGCTTGGCCCCAACCCCCCAGGGAGCGGGCCTAAGCCAGCAGGTGGACATCCTCTGAGGAGTCCCAGACTGCAAGAGGGCATAGGCCAGGCTGAGGGACCCTACCCCCAAGTGCACAAATTTTTGTGCACCGGGCCTCTAGTATGAACAATAAAATGGCAATAAATATATATCAACAATTGAATCTAAAAATCAAAATAAATGAACAAGAAATCTAATGAACAAAATAAACTGATGAACAAAATAGAACCAGAAGTATGGAAACATGGAACAGACTGATGAATCTCAGAAGGAAGGGGGGAGGGGTGGCAGGAAGAGATTAACCAAAGAATTTATATGCATATATGCATTACCTATGGTCACAGACAATAGGGAGGTGAAGGCCTGGGGCAGGGCAGGAACCAGATGGCGGGGGGCAATGGGTGGGGAGTGGGACATCTGTAATACTCTCAACAGTAAAGATTTTTTTAAAAAAGAAAATGTGAAAAGAGGGCCTGAAAAGAGTCTGATAATAGGAAAAAACAAAGGAAGGAATCCTTCACCCTGTAGAGAAATTAAAATAGAATACTTGTGCAATTTTATGCTCTTCTGTTGCTTATTTCTCCTCTAAATACCCTATTTCAGGTACTATCATCTCCGTTTCCAATCTCTCAGACTCAGACCTAAGAGTAATCAGTACCTCTTCCTTTGTTTACAGTGTCCCCAAATCCTTTTTCTTTCTTATATCTTTCTATTTATCCATTATTTCTCAGTTCTAATGCTAACACCTCACTATGTATTTTCTGCTCAAGTATACATTTGCTTTCACCTGCCGTGTTCTAGCATCTCAACCGCGTTGCCATGGGAAAATCTGATCTTCCTAACACACCACTGTCCATCCATTTGGGCAGCTGGAATCAGTACCACCAGCGGGTGGCTTAGAACCACAGAGACTGACTTCTCAAAGCTCTGGGGCTGCCATCTGGGTGGTGGCCCCATGAGGAGGGAGGGCCCTCTCCCTGGTTCCCAGCAGCTCCTGCTCGCTGAGCCTCAGGTGCTGGAAGCGGCTTCCATGAGGGCACTGACCCCCCAGCAGGGCAGAGCACTGCCCAAGACTGTCCTCTTCGGGGGTTAGAATTTCAATACATGAATTGGGGAGGAGGGCACCAGCATTCTAACCATAGCCATCCCTTGGACCATGCGACTTCTCTGCTCAGGGACTTGAGCATCCCTCCTACTGATTAAATCTTATTTATTAAATTAATTACCACCCCCCCAACCAGACCCCCCCACAGAAGCTGGTCTTCTTTACTTTTTCCAGAGCTACCACCTACCTTTCTTCCCCTGGCACTCGTCCCCGTGGCTTGGTGCAGTTGGGGCATCATCTCTCCTCCATCACTTGCCTCTTCCCTGTTTTCCGCAAACATCCATGTGTTATATTGTAAATCAGCGAGCAGAACATAGGACGCCTTAATGAGTCAATTAATCAGGAGTCTTTATTACGTTAGCGGGCCCAGAGGGAGATGTCTCCCAAATTTCTGAGCAAAAACATGGAGGAAGCTCCTATTTATCTTTCTAGCTCTTTGTCTGCAGACTTTACAAAGAGCTCTATGTAATTTATTTTTGCAGACAGCTTGTAACCTT